TTCATTGTCTCTATTCTTAATGATTATTGTAGAATTGATATTATTTAGTAGCTTAGATTTTCTAAAAGCATACAGACTGAGAACAATAGTTTCTTTTTTGGATGAGTAGAATGAAGTATAGTAACGCGGTTGGATATTAGAAGACGCAACGATAATATAATAATAGTATTGCGTGTATAGCATAGTGGTTCACATTACCTACATATATACAACATTAATATTATTTTTGTTATGATAATAACATATAAATAAATGATCACGAATTGTAGCTAAAAACACGGTTTTTGCGAAAAACGTAGTTTGTCATCTGTTTTGTACAAYGTCGAAAGGAGAAAACGATAAAGCCGTACACACGCAGAATAAACCCAGAAAAACCTCTTGCTATGTATACGATTTTTCGTCGTGTATATGAATGTGTTTTTTCGGTAATTTAGGAAACGATGCGTCTTCTTTATTGCTTTCGATGCACACGAAAGTGCATTGACATTGTGTTTATTGTTCATCCCGTAAAATACCCATTTTATTGTTAACGGTGCGCGATTTTTCTTCTGTAGCGGCCCTTTCCCGGTTGGCTCGATAACGTCTCGGAATTTATGGTTTATTTACTTAAACGTTGTCGTTTACTCTTTGCCTGGAACGAACAGGAAAATGTATGTCCATTAAAAAAGGAAACTAACTACCGACTACAGGTTTACGTCGATTAAAACTTTGTGGGCACTATGAGCCGCGCATATTAATAATAATATGTATTTTTATCTAAATACAGCTGTGGTACATTTCGCATATTAAGGAAATATATTATTTTTTTCGTTCATCGGTTTGTTTCTTCTTAATGCGCATTTTGCATTACACTTGGCGATTGGTCCATAATATTTTTGAATGCAACTTCGTCTTTTCGAACAACATTAAAACATTATTTAGTCGATATTAATGTTATCAAAGTCATTTTATTATTGTTATTACATTCAGTAAGTTGAGCAACATCCTAAGAACAATATCTTGAAAMTTCGAAATAAAATTCCAATATTATACTTATCATCATCATAAATGTAGAGATTATAATAATTATTTTAATCAATGTGCAAATATTACAATATTATCTTTCTTTATAATTTAATTTATTACCTACTATTCACAATGGTTTTAAAAATCTAAATCCAAGTAGTTTTTTTTTTTTTTTAAATCCTGAATACAAATATTATCCTCATTGTAAACCTGTCCTCGTCCTATCTCCACTTATAATAGTTGTAAAATAATAATATCTTTGTACTTAAAATACTCCATTAAAAGGTTTTTGTTATAAAATATTCAACTACTGAATGAAAAATTATACGAATAATAAAATATGCAAAATCCTTGAAACTAACACTATTTTGGAATACGTATATTTACTTGACGAAAAACGGTCAGACCTTAAGGAGTTTATATATCAGTACATAATATAAATGGATTATTCTTAATGGAGATTAACATTGAGGATTTTTGGATGAAATCTCGTGGACAATAAATGTTGGGTAAACGTTCAACGTTCAACTAGAGGTTTTAGCTAAACATTAACATATTAAATGGTGACCGTCATATTATAAGTTAAACCGGTCATAATTGTTTGTGTTCAGAACATTTTGTTTTCAGGCTTGAATCAGTTAAATAAATATTTTACATATTAAATATAATATTATGGACGTTTTGTAACAAAAAAATTACAAAATGGCCAAAACTAAGTTTTTTTTTCTTATCATCGCACAGTTTTTGAATTTCAAACAGAACCCATTCCATTTCTGACAATAATCAATGTATGTATACAATTGCTCTACTTGATGAAATCACTAWATAATTTCTGGCTTATTATAACAAATAACAATTATTACCAAACATCAATATCAAAAACAACTAACAAAATAAAAAACGATAAAAACACTCGACAGTCAAAATAAATAGCTGGTACATCATTCGGATTTCAAGCTTGACATAATTATTTTAGAACGTATAGTATTTTGGTAACATATATGTATAATATAACGTGTGAAACCATAATATAATATGATTACGCCCACTATATTGTGCGTCTTGAATTCGATTTGTTAGAATTCCCGCGATTAAACCTATGTTTATTATAACGATATAAGAGAAAATTAAAATGCATAATTTTAGGTTTAATGTTCGTGCATTAAACGACCATTACATAGTACATTAAATTGTAATCCAATTTTATTATACACTATTATAGTAAGCTGATCATGATTAAAATATAATTTATTTTTACAATATCTATAATTAGTATCGACCGGCTTCATTAATAATAAAAAAAAAAAACCATTATAAAATATTTACAAAGATACCTAGGTACATAATAATTATAATATTTATTGAGTATAATTTTATAATGTGATATTATGTAACGGTAGTAAACTGCTGTTGTTAGGTTAGCGTCTCGGATTTTAATATTTTTCTTTGCATAAAAGTGTTCAATAGTAAATTATTACGATGTCGTATAATATTATCGTGTTCAAATAATGGTATTAATGTATTATAATATCAATTATTATGATATAGAGATACAAAGGTGCCGATAAATAATTTTATTGAGTTAATTTCTGAAATCAAAATTATTGTATTCATTTTGACTCTATAGCCATGATACAAAAACATACCTATTTTACTTATTTCAATTGACCAATTTAATATACTGATGTACAATAGTTCGTGTTCAATGAACTTTGTAGCGTGTGTTGTACATCAGTTTTGGAGTTTTTGTCGATTAGTTTAAGTGCTCTTTAAGTCCTGAACACAGGTGGTATAGACGTATTATATAGTGTGTATAGTGTAYAAGGTACTATTTATATAGAGATGTAATTTTGGGAATTGGAAAATAAAGTAAAAAAGAAGAGGGAGAACTAGATTTTAAACGTTACTATGAATGTCAGTGTGTTTTTCCAGATTTAAACCAATTTCATAAATTTACAATAGTTATACTGTTTGAGTTAAAACTTTTATACTTATATATATATAGGTAAGTCATTTACATAATTTTATGACGTTTTCTTATGAATTCTAAAATCAATCATTTTACTTGCCATCATTGAACTATTTTAACATATATGAATTATGTACTTTATGAATTTATCGTTCGATTAATCAACTCAGAGCGAACGCTTAGAAAATTATTAATATTGTCAAAAACACATTATCGTTACCTAAGTTTTGATATTTCTTACGATCATTAGTACTGTAATTAGTGCTAATGATGACAAACATAATATTATATTAGGTACAAAAAACCTAGTAAAGATGATTTTGATACCCAATAAATTATAATAATGTATTAATGTATACATTTCCGTATATGCTCAACTATTATGTCTCATGTTATAATTTATATACAATTTGTTATCTAATTGCATAACTTATCATAAAATCTGTTAATTTAATTCCAATTGTTAATGTTTTATTCTTAAGAGCTGTACCTGTGCCATTATAGTTTGAATAAATAAATACGTTACCGATTAGAATTCATAATATTACATTAAATACTGTCTACTTATAGGTAATATGATAGAATACCGGTATAAAATCACAGTTGGCGCCTCTGTGGCTATACCTGCGGATTATTTAAATATTTTCGACAACTGCAGCCGAATATCCGAAGTCGTCTTTGCCTCCCTCTCACTCTTTTACGTTACTCAACGAACCAGAATGAAATATTACATTATCATCGGTTACATGGTCTGGGACAGATCTTTATCGATCATATTATCATCATTATTGTACAGGTATAGGTACCAATATAAGTCTAGTTTAAGGTGCAATTACATTTTTTACACCACATAAGTATATAAATTACACACTTTATAGAATTGACCAACACAAAATGTATGAACATTTGATAATTTTCGGTTTCGTCTGAAGTATTATAATATATTTCTAAAAATGTCACACGGTAGTGTTAAATATAATCAAACTTTTGATATTTTGTCATTAGCCGTTAACCTTACATAATATTATTATTAAATTATTAATTTTAGAGATGCGAACCATATACCTACGCGCGTTTTTTTATTGATAAAAAAAATCTATTGCAATAATGTTCAAACCCATCACATCTAAGAAAAACTTATCCACAAGGAATTAAAATCTTTTCCAGGATATAACTATTATACTTATATTATGGTAATTAACTAGGTTGTCCCGAAAACGTTACATTGGTATACGCTATAACCTAACCCATCAGCTACGAGTTTACCGATTTCTATTATATTGTCGATAAAATCACGCGGGTTAATCTCCAGGGATAATAATATATACCTACGCCTATATTATGATAATATTATAATATATCATAAACCATAAACCAACAAGAGCTAAGGATTAAACGTGAGCAATTATTGTCCCCCCTGGACACATCCTTCCGACGGGATTATCGGCATATTACATTATGCATATTTACCCATATRTACTTAGTTTGTCTACCTACATGCTTTCCTTTAATACAAGTTACAGGGTAATACATTTTGATGGCTGTTTTCTAGGAGCATTTGATACAAATATATATATATGTTTGTTGATTTCCAAATCAATCTTAAATGTGTTACAATAAACAACAATCAAAACAATATTTAGTATCAATATTTCACGCGTCGCCGCTTTTAGAAAAAAATACTCTAGGTACTTTTGGTTATAAAAGTTAAAAATATAAAAATATTGTTTCTTTAAATACTTAGTGATTTTAAAACCTTACTAGGATGTATGTATTGACTTTATACGGAGGTTTTTTTTCGAAAATACAACAATTCAGTCGAAAAACTTAGTGTATAGCGGCAGTCTGCAAATGGACCACCCCGTATAATAATATGTCGTATCTATAATACCTGCCTACGCGCGTACCGATAATATTATAATAATAATATATTTAAAAATATGTAAATAATGTCCCGACGCTAATAATAATAACGAGGTGTTCGTATAATGCACGTAAGTTAACGTTTGTGTGTTTGTGTGCGCAGGATGGCTGGGAGCAATGTCCACGGGAGTGGCGCTGTTGCTGTCACCGGTGACGATAGCGTTTTGCCGGCGGAAATCCACAAGACTGACGGCTGTCATGGGCGGCCTTATCACCGCACTTGGATGTCTCTTCACCAGTTTCGCCACGCAGTTCCACCAATTATTCTTCAGCTACGGCACCGTCATCGGTAAGCACATGTTAACAATAACGTTATTTCGATGGACGAACTTCCATTTAACAATTTTTTTTTGGTAACAAAGTGAGAACCAAATATATTTAATTATAATTAATCAATTACTCTGTGGTCTGTAGTAYCAAATTTTTTATTGTTTTATTTTTTATTGTTCATGAAGACTTTCGTAGTATAGAAGATTGTTATTATATATAGATATATATTTGTACGACGTATTGCATTGGTGTGATATGTGAAAAAACRAGCGTGAGAGATCGACGATTCGTTTTGATGACGGTTTTTAGTCGGGGTGGAAAATCAAAAAATCGCAGAAAATAGAAATAGAAAATAATCTAGCTGCAATCGCGAGTATTTTATACGGGTAGCCATTATGACATAAAAAATACGAGTTGCCTGCAATCTCTTGGACTATTTATAATTTAATCGCAGTTCCTAAACAGAATAATATTGAAAGAGGTTAGCACATATTTTGGTAAATAAGTTTATGTTTCTAGGAAAGAATTAAATTTCATGTTCTTTGTCCTATCTAGATTTTGTTATTTGTATTTTATATTTTTATTCCATGATAATAATATTSTCATAATAGTCATATCGCATAAGGTATCATTAATCACGAGATTTGATATTAGGTACACGCTAAATGTTAAAACATTGATCATTCAACCAAACGCAAAATTGATTTTCACAAAATCGAGAGTAATCCGCGATATCTTAATAATATATAATAAAAATATCCGTGCGTGTATAATTGTTATTTATTTTCTGTGGACGAAAGGATCAAGGATTCTTTGGTCGTAAAAAAAAATGCGACTAGAAAAGGGATTTTTGTTTTAAATAGAACGTTTGCCACACCGGTTTTTATCGTAATAATATACTGTTGCCATTATCATAACTGACCACAGTGGTGGACATAGAACAGMAATAAATAAAAATGGAAAACAATCTAAGTTTTAAAATTTGCCCGTTTCGTCACGCGACGGGCGTGCGTGGACTACGCTCTACCATGGCATCGTAGAGACGTGACCAAAATTAAATTGCTCACCCTGTGATATTATCATTATGACACGATGCTGTTTTAAATTTTTTTTCAAAACACGCGCACTCGACCGCGATAAAACGTCACCGTCAACGAAACGTATCATTATTATTATTATTATACAATATCGCGTGCGTACTACAACAATGTAACGCATAAATGGTTAAACGCCACAAGTTACCAAAAAGTTGGGGCCGAAAATGATATGCGACCGCGTAAAATTATTTTCATGTCAGCATTCATCCAAGCACAATCGATGACGAAATATTTATTATTATTATGTTAGTGTTAGGTATAATATATCTCATATGTCACATGCCACGCCGTGACGCGATAGGTAAGGTACGCGTCACTGCTTTCACCCGTCGCATTTATAATATAATATATACAGTCCGATACAGAGTGATTCACTTAGCATGCAGCTCATATCAATCATAATATCTACCCAATCACCTCTATTTCTCAAAATATGGTTAGTTTATTCAGTTTCTGATTTTTTGAATATCTGAACGTCTAACAACAACTGTATTTTAAATAATTAGATTTTTCATAYCGTTAAAGAAATGTAATGCCGAGACGACAAACCATGTCATAATTATTAATAACAACTATAATTATTTTTTCAAATGACAATCGTTATTTTTTTGCAAATTGTTAAAGAGATGGTTTTTTTTAAACATTTTAATGTATACAAATCAAATTTTAAATGTGTAGTTTTTAAGTTTTTGAGATAATGCACTGACGATAGATTCAAAACTTATGGATCTATGGTGATTTCAAAATGTATTATATTAATTAGCATAAATATTAATTTATTAACATTTTGAAATTTATAAAAACTGTCCAAGTTTTATAAGTACCTATTAGATTAATTATTACATCATTTTTTTTTTTTAAGAATTATATGTGCTTAACGGTTTACTATTGAAAAGTTTGGTTTTTATTAATTGAAGAAAATATATTTGTATCACCACAGCTAGGTTACTGCTTAAACAATATTCATGAAAAGTCTTATTACTATGTTATATGGTCCTTAGGATTGGATAAAAATTAAAAAAATAAAAGTTAAAACAAATGCATTTGTTAAAAGAAAATTTAAATTCTTCATGTTTGGTGAACCATTCTGTATAGGAGAAAAATAGATGACCGGATTGCTAATGTATTTCATTTTTTTTTTTTTTAAATTTTTTTTTCGAAAAACATCCGTACCGACTTCTCTGGACAAATGTGTTTGAATAACAATTGTACGTTTAGCGAGGTATATGTATTATGATAATATATTAATGGAAATATAATATACAACACGAACGCTCCACAACAATAGGTATGGGTACACGCCGTAGGTTATAATGTGCACATGGTATTCTGTAAGTCTGTATTGGAGGTAGGTACTATATATAGGTTGGTAGGTACTCTGTCAATTTCTCTTTATCTGACCGCGAACGCTTGAAACAGTTAATGCATGCTCATCTGTATTATACATATTTTATACGGCTCGTTTTTGTCGCCGTCAACCTACATATTTATGTGACACTGAACACGAAATCTTCCAAATTCGGTAATCATTCTTCATCTCCAGTGCCGCACGATTGCATACTTTTACCTTTTTGACCGCGTAAAAAGCGTGAAACAATATTGTGCACGCCAACTGACAAAAAACTAAATTCAATGTTTACCTTCCCAATAGTTTATTTTACTAATTGAAAATAAATTTGAATACCTAAAATAAATGAAAGCGCGTGAAGTTTTCACTCCTCATACAATATTGTTACAACATCGACTTTAACCTTCAACGATATTTTATTATTTAACATAAATTAAAATTAATTAATTTGTATGTAACAATAATAAATTATTTATATACCTACTTCAATATTGAGTAGAAAACAAATAGTTTAATAATTTATAGTTTTTTTTTTATGTAAATGCATAAAGGCATCATAACATTTAAGACTTTATTTTAAGAAATTAGTAGGTATTATTATTTAAACTGAAAAAAATTAACTTGCGTGCTCAATTTTGTGGTCGATACCACAAGCTATATGCCACATCACTATAATAGTTAAAATATTACTATATGTGTGTATTGTATATGAAAATAAATTTGAAAAGAATAGAAAGAATTTTCCAAAAAATTATTCTACGTAATAAAAAAAAGTTATTCAATTGTTGCTCAATAATGACAGATTTTTTTCTTATTGAAAAATGCGCAGTTTTGTTCCTCACAGGCACCTATACTTTATTATGCAGGATCGTAAAAAACGTAATTTTTACATCGTTATTTTACAAAATGTAATAAAACATAACATTAAAATCTTTCATTTTTTTCTCAGCTTTATATTTCGTACACTTCGTAAAAGTCACGTTATTATTATTTTCGAATATATTATGCGCGCACTACGACAGATCATGAATATTAAAATAAATACGACGACAGTAATATGTAAAATATTATATATTATATATCAAATGTTATCAATAATCTTGATATTATCCATCCAAATGCTACCACAAATTTATTATAATTAGTCTTCATAATCTAGGTGCATAGAAAAGTACGTTCTATGGGTTCCTTTTTTTCAGAATTCCTTACTGCAATGTTAACAATTAAAAGTATTGTAAAACGCACAAAATTGTTTTTTAAGCACCCCTTCCATCCCGTTGTGAAATGTTGGATATAATAACTGTGTAAGCATTTGTATAATACGAGTATGTTAGGTGTTTCATAAATTTAAAATACCTTTAAATAAATTGTTAATATAATTTTCAAATCGTATTTATGTTATCTATAATCTAAATAGTCTATAATTATTTATGATCTATTTTACTATAAATTGATTAAATAGTATGTTTTCTGTAAAAAAATGTAGTCGTGTTTTTACTGTGATTAGCGCTATCAAGCCAGTGTGTCATGATATATGATAGTGTGTTGGGAATAATAATATTATAAAACATATAGTAAAAAAAAAAAAGTATATTATAAATTTTCTAATTTGATATCGTAATATTTACAAGAATAATAAACTTACATATCCTTAACATACCACCAATTCCAACGTATAATACCTTATTAACTTATAAAATAATATAACTAGGAATAAAAAAAAAATTTAAAAAAAATACATTACCTGCATGGTTTTTATTTTTATGACGAGTTAAGTTATAGCTGTTTGAATAAGATTTTGAACATTTGCTACACTGATAGTGGATTTTTGTAGGGATTATAATATTATTACTGTGATTTTTTTTTTCATGACGAATTAGATCATAATTGCGTGCACAAGACTTTGGGCATTTGTTGCACTGATACCGAATATGTTTATTTTCATGTTTTTTGAGACTGCAATTACGAGCGAAAATACGCTTACACAATTTACACTTAAACATTTTAATGGAATGAGAAAAAAACGATTCAATGTAGAACAAATAACGAGTATGCTAGTCAATAGTAAATTATAATATTAACAAAAGCATTAAACACGGTGAGAATGACGACCTATAAGGCTATAACACGCGGAATAGAAAATAGAGACAAATCGTACAACGGAGACGAATTTACTACTGACGCAGCGACGCTATGATTTTTGTATATCGACAGTAGAAATTTGGTTCAAAAATGCATTTGTTAAGTGTCTCCCCGATAATTAGAAATTAATTACCATAAGAAGAATTATAATACTTATGTTATTTAATAATGGATTCTACTATATTATTATATCATAATCGTTTGGATGTTTGGAGTCAATAATAACTGTCATGATATTATAATGCGATTTTAATGTTATGTATTTATTATACAGGTAATGTCTTGTAGGCTTTGTAGGGGATATATTGAAAATAAAAATGAATTTGGATCAATGACATTATTATTATTTATTGATAATCATATTTAGACGATATTATATTATTACATCGTACCAGAAATAAACGAACCGTAAATTAACGGCAACGAGTTAAC